AAAATTGACTAAAACAAGAAAGACTTACCTCCTCTTAAGAGGAATCTCTCCGCCAGGAGCCGCTCCCCCCAGCTACCAGACCCACCACGCCTATTAAGTTGTGTCAAGATCTTAGAGGCTTCTTTTAGTTTCTGGCACTCGATATCCCGTTGACTCCTTAACTTGACATATTGCGCCATGACTTGCTCTTGTATGTGCCCCTATAACAAAATAATTGTACCAACATATCTAATACCAGTACTATTTACTTACAGTATCATTTTTGCTGTTTCCCATATCGTAGTATGCGTCACACACTAAAGACATGTTCGGGTCGAATTATTCCACTGACTTATCCGATGACGACACGCTGGAAAAACCTATCCAATTGTCGATCCGTTGGGAGGTTTTTGATTGACTAAAACTTCAGCACTAGCCTTTTCAAGTCACTGGTCGCTTCTATGGTGATTCGTTTGTAACTGTTTGGTCGAAAGACTCACACAAACTGAAACTGAGTGAAAATTGGCAGGATTTAGGTGGTTGTAAAGACCACCCCCCCGACACCCTCTCCAGTAATCAGTGGGTTGAGAAGGGGTTGCTTTCTTGCCAACCAGTAATATTCAAGGTCGTTGCCACTTCATGCAAATTAAAGAAGTGCGGACTTTTGGCCAGGTATAATTTGGGCGTAAACTGCACCCTTTCCACCCGCTAGAATAAGGAGGGGGTGGTTTTAGTAATAGAGAAGTAATATAGCCAAGGGCTTAGCCATTTCGTGTAGATTTAACAAAGTACAGATTTTAAACCGTCTATAAAATCACTTTGGAGGAAGTGATAACGTCTGCAAATTGCTTGGTATTGGGAGCCTTCGAGATTTCTTCAAAAAATAAAACACTAGCGGTCCCCGAGAATTTTGAACTTCTTCAAAAAATAAAACAGTAGGGGTCTCCGAGATTTTTAACTTCTTCAAAAAATAAAACACTAGGGGTCCCCGAGATTTTTTAACTTCTTCAAAAAATAAAACACAGGGGCACCCGAGATTTTTTAACTACTTCAAAAAATAAACCATAAGGAGTCCTAGAGATTCTATTAACTTCTTCAAAAAATAAAACACTTGGGGCCTCCGAGATTCTTTCAACTACTTCAAAAAATAAAACATTTGAGGCCCCCAGATTCTTTCAAATTCAGCAAAAAATAAAACACTAGGGGACCCCGAGATTATTTCAACTACTTCAAATAATAAAACTTTTGGGGTCCCCGAGATTTTTTAACTTCTTCAAAAAATAAACCATTTGGAGTCCTAGAGATTCTTTCAACCTCTTCAAAAAATAAAACACTTAAGGCCGCCGAGATTCTTTCGACTTCTTCAAAAAATAAAACACTTGGGGCCCCAGATTCTTTCAAATTCTTCAAAAAATAAAGACACTAAGGCCACCCGAGATTCTTTCAAACTACTTCAAAAATAAAACATTAAGGACCTCCGAGATTCTTACAACTACTTCAAAAAATAAAACATTAGGAGTCCTCGAGATTTTTTTAACTTCTTCAAAAAATAAAACACTTGAGACTCCCAGATTCTTTCAAATTCCGCAAAAAATAAAACACTAGGAAACCCCGAGATTTTTTCAACTACTTCAAATAATAAAACTCTTGGGATCCCCGAGATTTTTTAACTTCTTTAAAAAATAAAACACTAGGGGTCCCCGAGATTCTTTCAACTACTTCAAAAAATAAAACATTTGGGCCCCCAGATTCTTTCAAATTCCGCAAAAAATAAAACACTAGGGGACCCCGAGATTTTTTCAACTACTTCAAATAATAAAACTCTTGGGGTCCCCGAGATTTTTTAACTTCTTCAAAAAATAAACCATTTGGAGTCCTAGAGGTTCTTTCAACTACTTCAAAAAATAAAACACTAGGACCACCGAGATTCTTTCGACTTCTACAAAATAAAACACTTGGGGCCCCCAGATTCTTTCAAATTCCAAAAAAAATAAAGACACTAGGGCCACCCGAGATTCGTTCAACTACTTCAAAAATAGAAAATTAAGGACCTCCGAGATTCTTATAACTACTTCAAAAAATAAAACATTAGGAGCCCTCGAGATTTTTTTAACTTGTTCAAAAAATAAAACACTTGGTGTCCCCAGATTCTTTCAAATTCCGCAAAAAATAAAACACTAGGAAACCCCGAGATTTTTTCAACTAGTTCAAATAATAAAACTCTTGGGATCCCCGAGATTCTTTCAACCACTTCAAAAAATAAAATATTTGGGCCCCCAGATTCTTTCAAATTCCGCAAAAAATAAAACACTAGGGGACCCCGAGATTTTTTCAACTACTTCAAATAATAAAACTCTTGGGACCCCCGAGATTTTTTAACTTCTTCAAAAAATAAACCATTAGGATTCCTAGAGATTCTTTCAACTACTTAAAAAAATAAAACACTAGGACCCCCGAGATTCTTTCAACTTCTTCAAAAAATAAAACACTTGGGGCCCCCAGATTCTTTCAAATTCCTCAAAAAATAAAACTCTAGGGGCCCCCGAAATTCTTTCAATTACTTCAAAAATAAAACAATAGGAACCCCCGAGATTCTTACAACTACTTCGAAAAATAAAACATTAGGAGCCCTTGAGATTTTTTTAACTTCTTCAAAAAATAAAACACTTGAGGCCCCCAGATTCTTTCAAATTCCGCAAAAAATAAAACACTAGGGGACCCAGAGATTTTTTAACTTCTTCAAAAAATAAACCATTTTTATTGTCTAAGGGTCATGAAACATCGAGAAAACATTCCCTTACTTAAAAATGGGAATGAAAGGAAAACAGTTTTTCCAAAATTTTGAAAAATTACTGTTCTAAGTATGGTCGAATAACGTACACAACATTTATGATGCTCATTTCCAGCTGCAATTTTTTTTTCGGATTAAAAATTACCGGAAAATTCGGATTGAAAGAGAATTTTTTTTAAATCGTAAAAATTAGCTAATTTAAATCGGGATTTTGAAAAAACGATGGGAATTTCCGAAGAAACGGAGCCGAAAATTACTTTTAGATGTCTAAATCTACAAGAAAATGGCTTTAGTTAATTTAGTTAATTTTCGAAAATCGTTGAACTCCCAAAAATGCCAAAAGTAGTCTTATGAAATACTAGCCCTGGCCATCTACCCTCTATTTTCTTAAAGGGTACTTGCCAAAATTAGTGCCATTTTACCAAGTACTAGCCCCGCCCACCCGCCCTCTGTTTTCTTGGAGAATATGTGATTTGCCAAAATCAGTTTTATCTTTGAAAGTATAACCGTCCACCGGCCCTGTAATTACTTAGAAGGTATGTCATTTGCCAAAATCACTCTTATCTTAGCAAGTACTAACCCCGCCTACCCACCCACTCTTTTCTTAGAATGTATGTCATTTGCCAAAATCAGTCTTATCTTGGCAAGTACTTGCTAATAAGAGAGCGATTTTGCTAAATGACATACCCTCGTAAGAAAAAAGAGGATGGGCGGGGCTAGTAGCTAAGATAAGAGTAATTTTGGCAAATCAAATACCCTCTAAGAAAAGAGAGGGTGGGTGGGCGGGGCTAGTAGCTGTCAAGATAAGACTGATTTTGGCAAATGACATAGTATCTAAGAAAATAGAGGGCGGGTGGGCGGGGTTAGTACTTGCTAATAAGAGAGCGATTTTGGTAAATGACACCTTCTAAGAAAAGAGGGGATGGGCGGGGCTAGTAGTTAAGATAAGAGTGATTTTGGCAAATCAGATACCCTCTAAGAAGAGAGGGTGGGTGGGTGGGGCTAGTACTTGGTAAAGTAAAACTGATTTTGGCAAATCAGACCCCCTCTAAGAAAAGAGAGGGTGGGTGGGCGGGGCTAGTTCCTACTAAGATAAGAGTGATTTTGGCAAATCAAGTACTTGTAGAGCTTTATTTATTCTTATGGGAAATAAGATGAAAAAAATGGCTTCTTTGCTGCTCTTCCTTGGTTATTTTCTACTTTTGAAGATTTTTTTTCATGTTCATTTTATATTTTTTTAACACAGATTTGGCAAATAAAAAATGGGTTTAAGTTGACCTGGCCTGAGCTAACGTGACGTAACCTATTCTGACCTGACGTGTTTCTGGTGTTTACGGTGTTAAAAGCGAAAATTTTGCCCCATTATTACCAGCGAATGTCCGAGGTAACGTCTTCAGTACCATGCAATGCCACCATTTCCCCCATACTCGCCCATTTCCACGAGAAATCAGTGCTTTCGCCCCAGATCGCGGCAGGTGTATGAAGACATAACTTATCCACTCGGGAATAATCAAAATTCCGCCAAAAGAATCCTAACAAGAATCCTGATGATTTCTGTCACTAAAAACCCATCAATTAAGGATGACTATTTTGGTCGAACCAGAGCAGACGCGTCCAACATTATGTTAACGAGCACCGTGTTTTATCATATAGTTCACGATCAATAATGCATGAATCGATTAATTATTTATGATCGATCGTTCATTATCTGATTTATTTTTATCAACTAAATAAAATAACTAAAAAGCGACTTGTCCTCAGCGCTCAGGTGTATTGTCGCAACCAGTCGCTCGATTTCCACGGTTTCACAATACTAATTACCCGCAATTACGCGACATTTAAAGGGCACGATAATTACCGATAGATAAGGTTTTTCCAATCACGGCCGGAGCCCGTTCTTTTCGGGCCGAAGAAACCCGCGGCTCGTGCAGAATTTTAAACGGTGTCTGTAGTTTTTGCAACTAGATAAGATCCGAACGCATAACATAAATATTTCATAGTGTCGGATGGGTATGGTCTTAAAACAAGATGGCACATGGGGAAAATCGGGCAGTTTTTCATCGGCGCTGCCAAAAACCCGTCTGCCGGGCAGACGAAACGAATAAATACGGCCCATCTTTATGGATTTGTCGCAAAATTGCTAGGCCATTGTTTCGACGTGATGTATGGCGTTATTATGGCACTTTTTGCCGAGTCGGTAGATTATTAAGCTCATTATGTTTCGTTTCAGGTGATAAACCCCACGCTTGCGACCTCTGCAACAAGAAGTTCGCGCTGGCCTGCAATTTACGCGCTCACATGAAGACACATGAGGGTAAGTTCAGGTTTATTGGTTCAATCAATATTCATAATAAAGCAATGTAACGATTTGCATTCGCTGTTTTATTAAATTAACGAGTTGTATGTAATCAAGACGTGACCGAACAGTGCGCGATAGCAGGTATTTGAGTAATTTTATTTAATAAAGGGTGTGGTCTTTATTTACAATAAATTGTGAATATTCATTATTTTCAGTACGTTCTTTTTGATGATGGAGCGGGGTCGTGTGGGTTGTCAATAACAGACTTTATCGAATGGGAATTAGTAATGTGTTTGTTATGAAATACTGTGGTGTGTACTTAATGATTAAGAAAGATCTAAGTATGCAGTTATAAATGTACAAGGAAGCGGGGAAATGCAAATTCGGTTAAATTAATAACGGTAGATTAAACAATAACAAAAAAATTGGCACGAAACCACAAATTCCAGGTATGCGGTCGTCACTGAAAGCGGGTCCAACCAATAAATCATTAGATCCTTAAACACCCATTATTCTCCCAAGAGGATTATTCATTTTCGCTGCACCTAAGTACACTTGGGGTACAGATGGTCCGTTTTTATTTCTCAATACTAGGTTTCCGCCAAAGCAAACTAAACAGGTGTCTCAATAATATTGCCACGATTTTTCGTAGGCAATTTTGTTAGTGGTTTTTGATTTTTAAAAGTGTTTCTTATTTTTATATAACACTTAATAAGAACTTTAAAACAATTACTGTGTCACTAGGAGAAAATGGCCGAAAATGTAACAAAAAATCGTTTAAAAATTCTCAAAAAATTCAAGGATGTAGATCTCGACTTGCTGATTTGAAAAATATAGCGTGTAAATTTCGATATTTCAATATGCGATTCTGGGAAAACGTTTGAGTAATCGAAGAAATGGGACCGGAAGTGACTTCTATACCCCAAAATCTATGAGAAAATGTATTTAGTTGAATTTAAAAAATCGGTCAAAATTGGCATAAGGGTTTTTATGACGTAGAAGCAAATTATACAGGTTTCTCAATATTATGAAGATTATTATTCGTCGCCAATTTTTGTGGGTTTTGATTTTTAAAACTGTTTCTTATTTTTATATAACACTTAATAATAACTTTAAAACAATTACATTAATGTCACTAGGAGAAAACGGTCTAAAACTGAACAAAAAAGTCATTCAAAAATTCTCAAAAAATTCAGGGATATAGATCTCGACTTGCTGATTTAAAAATATACCGTGTAAATTTCGATATTTCAATATGCGATTCTGGGAAAGCGTTTGAGTAATCGAAGAAATGGGGCCGGAAGTGACTTCTATAGCCCAAAATCTATGAGAAAATGTATTTAGTTGAATTTAAAAAATCGGTCGAAATTGGCATAAGGGTTTTTATGATGTAGAAGCAAATTAAACAGGTTTCTCAATATTATGAAGATTATTATTCGTCGCCAATTTTTGTGGGTTTTAATTTTTAAAAGTGTTTCTTATTTTTATAAAACACTTAATAATAACTTTAAAAGAAATACATTAATGGCACTAGGACAAAATGGTCGAAAGTTGTTTGAAAATCTTCACTGAGCAACATTTTCGAAATATTCGGTGTGAAATTCGAAATTTTTGGAATTGCTAGTTTAGTTTTGGAAATTTCATTCTCCGTTATTAAATTTTATTGACGATAACGAGACGGACAGTAGTACAATGGTAAGAAGTATTTATGGCTCACACCAGTTCACTCGAATTTGTCTGATAACATTTGCAGGTAGTTGTACTCATAAAATAATGGTCATTTCCGTTCATGGGTAGCGATGGTCCCTATCCGTACCTGGATTATTCTAGTTTCTAACATCTGGGGCAAAGTCATTTAATAGATAAGGTTGACACATTGGGATGCCATATTGATACGTCACAAGGGACTCTCAAATGGCGCGAAAATTGCCCGTTTTAAATACTCGAGTAACGCACTAAAAACGGAAACTTTTAATCAAGTGACCGCTTCTACTTCGCAAATTTCAATCTTGTGTAAAGAACAATTTAATAAACCTCAAGAAAAATGTTTTGCTGCCAGTAGAACTTGAAAATAACAAATGCGACACTATTAACTGATTTTTTTTTATGCAAAAAAATCTGAAAATCTGCATTTACTGGTTTACTTTTTCCTTTCTAGTAATATATCAAAACATTTCATTTTAGCTTAAACACAAATAAATTTATTTTTTTTTTTGTTAGGCAAACACCACTTTAATTCATTGTAATATTAAACTTGTGAAAATATTACAACTAAACATTAACACTACTGGTAAGTAAAAATACATAAAATTTTATAATAATTTTTATTTACATACATCAAACAGTTTTAGCTAATTTTTTAAATTTTTTCGTAGCAGTACTAACACCAAACGTCAGAATTAGCGGTACAGATCGTACAGATTAAAGGCATCAGCTGATCGGTCACACCAACTCAAAATTACAAGTTACTAAAAATTCCCAAGTGATACCATCCTCATTTTGACGTCACATGGGGCTGACACCTCTCCTCCCCCGTAAGCGATTTTGCCCACATACTCGTTTATGTGGTAACCTGTTCTCTATTAACTAACCTTGCATCTGGGGATTATCGGCACGCGACAGCGTAAGTCGTAAATATCTGTTGCTATTGTGCTACTGTCCGTCTCATTATTGCCAATAAAATTTTATAGGGTACAATGAAATTTCCAAAACTATACTTGTGTAAAAGTGATTTTGGCCAATGACATATTCTCTAAGAAAATAGAAAGCGGGTGGCTGTGGTTAGTATCTGGTAAAATAAGACGAATTTTTGCAAATGACATATCATCCAAGAAAAGAGAGGGTGGGTGGGCGGGCTTAGTACTTGCTAAGATAAGAGTAATTTTGGCAAGAGATAGACTCTAAGAAAAGAAAGGGTGGGTGGGCGGGGCTAGTACCTGTTAAGATAAAAGTGATTTTGGCCAATGACATAATTTCTAAAAAAATAGAGGGCGGGCGGCTGGGGTTAGTACCAAAAAATCTTTTGAGCTTTTAGTGTTTTATTTTTTACGAATTTGAAAAAGTCTTGAGTGCGCTGTGTTTTTTTTTTATTCGGGAGAGTCTTTTTGTTCGTTTTCTTTCGATCTCCTATTGCTTTTGAGAGATTAAGAATATTCAATCCCAATCTTTTTCTCATAAGGGTATTTTCTACAATACATGACTCAAATATATGGACTTTGCATTTAAGCTTTGCCCCTCGATCTCATAACCAATAAAAAATTCGTCACAATTGAGATCGGGTGGGTGGGTGGGGCTTATCCTTTGATTTTTTTTTCGGAATATACTAGCCTTCTTTCAACGGTAAAATACTTCAAATATCAAAGAGTGAATTTGAGATTAGAATTATGCTTTAAGTATCGTGTTTTTGAAAAAAAAAACTAGATACATCAAGAAAAAGGAGTCAATGATTAAGCCCCACCCACCCACCCTATCTCAATTCTGATGAATTTTTTATTTGATGTCAGATTTAGGGGCGGAACTTAGCTGCAAAATCCATATTTCCCTACAAAATGCTGAAGATATTTCAGTTTTGCACTTTCTCCATTTTTCAGTCAATTAACTGAGATTTCCATTTTTAATTTGGCTTTTAAATTTGCCAAGTCCTCAATTTTTTCAAGTTTTATTTTCCCAGATTCTAATTTTTAATTTAATTCAAAAAGAACAAATTTATTAAAACTGAAATTTTCACGATTTTACAGTTTTTGGATTTGCGTGTTGACTGAGCATTTTTTTAACAGCACCCACTTTTGAAATTTTGCGATTTTTGTTAGATTTTACAATTTTTTTATTTGCACTTTTTTGTTTTTGTTTTAGGTTTTTCAAAGTTTGTATTCATCAATTCCTGAATTTTTAAATTTTTCGATTTTAGGGTTAAATTTTTAACTTTTTTGATTAAAATGCTGATTTTGGCAAATGGGATAACTTCTAAGAAAAAGAGGGTGGGTGGGCGGGGCTAAGTTCAACTTTTTCCCACAGAATCGTTTATAAGCAACCAATAGCTACCCATGGTGTATTATTTTGGGGGTCCATGGAGATTTTTTTCGTAAATTATTTAAAACAATTTTGGGGGACTTTTGCTGTTCTATTTTTGAAAAATTCTGACCTAACCTGTTTTTGAGTTCATTTTGGGACCGCGTTTTATTAACTTTTTTTTTTTTGAAAAATTTAAAACAAAATTAGGTTCTAAGTATTCTCGTTTGGAAATAATTTGAAAGTGCCATGGAGCCTCTAGTGACCTTTCTTATAATAATTTGATTAATTTCTCAGAAGATACGTGATTTGCTAAAATCAGACTTATCTTAGCAGGGACTAGCTCCGCCCACCCACCCTCTCTTTTCTTAGAGCTAATGTTATTTGCCAAATCCGTTTTATCTTAGTAAATACTAGCCCCACCCACCCGCCCTCTCTTTTCTTAGAGTGTATCTCATTTGCAAAGTTCACTTTTATCTTAGCAGATTATAGCCCCGCCCACCCACCCTCACGTCTTGAGTGCGCTGTGTTTTTTTTTTATGCGGAAGACTCTTGGGTATCTATGGTATATTATTTTGGGTACCCATGGAGATTTTTTTTTTTTTATTATTTAAAACAATTGTGGAAAACATTGCTCTTCTATTTTTGAAAAATTCTGACCTGACCTGGTTTTGAGTTAATTTTGAAACCCCGTTTTATTTTTTGTTTTTGAAAAATTCTCGTTTGGAAAGAATTTGAATGTGCCATGGAGCCTCTAGTGCCCTTTGTTATAATAATTTAATTAGTTCTTAAAAGATACGGGATTTGCCAAAATCAGACTTATCTTAGCAGGTACTAGCCCCGCCCACCCACCCTCTCTTTTCTTAGAGCTTATGTTATTTTCCAAAATCAGTTTTATCTTAGTAAATACTAGCTCCACCCGCCCGCCCTTTATTTTCTTAGAGAATATGTCCCTTATCAAAATCGGTCATAGCAAGTACTAGCCCCACCCACCCGCCCTCTCTTTTGTTAGAAAGTATATCATTTGCCAAGTTCACTTTTATCTTAGCAGATTATAGCCCCGCCCACCCGCCCTTACTTTTCTTAAAGGGTATCTCCTCTGCCAAAATCAGTGTCATCTTGGCAGGTACTAGCCCCGCCCACCCACCCTCTCTTTTCTTAGAGGCTATGTCATTTGCCAAAATCAGTTTTATCTTAGCAAATAGTAGCTCCACCCTCTCGCCCTCTAATTTCTTAGATAATATATGATTTGTTAAAATCAGTCTTAACAAGTACTAGCCCCACCCACCCGCCCCCTCTTTTCTTAGAAGGTATGTCATTTGCCAAAATCAATCTTATCTTGGCAGGTACTAGCCCCGCCCATCAAATTAATGTCGGGGAATGTTAGACAAATCTTAGAAAGCGATTTACCAATTACATGATATTCCAAAATTATGTCTAAAATTTGACAACAATCGGTAGGATATTTTTGGAAAGAATTGGTCTAATAACCAATTTTTCATACTCTAGGGGTCTTGAAACGTCGAGGAAACATAAAATTTCCTTGGCTTGGGAAACTAAAACATTATTACTCTGTTATATCAGATTGATCTAAAAGTAATTATTTCTTAGCTTCTGAACGGAAAAAATTGAAATTTTTGCGAAATTGTCTAAAAATTAACACAAAATTTTGGGAAATAGATTTCGAAGAACTGAATTAAAAAACATGGCATGTTGATTTACGGAGAAATGATGGGTCTATAAGGACGAACAATTCCAGATCGATACCACGATTGTTTTTCGAAATACACGCTTTCAAAGTCAAATGTGTAGAATATCTCAAAATTTGCTCCATTTCATTGAGAGTATTTAAAAAAAAAATGCTTTGAACTTTGAAGGACTCAAGCGTCAGTGGATCGAAATTAACACAAAATCCCCGGTGGTTTGAAATTACTCGAAAAAAAACAAAAAATTTCATAATGTATTAAAAAAATGGAGATTTTCCCTAAGTTACTTAAAACTCCACAAAAAATTCTAAGAGATAGATTTCCACAAGTTTGTCTCATTTGCCTTTTTTTTTTAATAAAGAGCGGATGGGCGGGGCTAGTGCTTGCTAAGATAAGGCTGCTAATGCCAAATAACATATAAAGAATTTTTTCATTGTTTTTTGGGACTTCCGAAACCCTCGTACAAACGTCCTGAAGAGTTAATCCGCCATTTTCCAGACACCCGGTATAGAGGAAATTTTCATTTTTGAAAAAATTATTTAAAAATTCTCAAAAAATTCAGGGATGTTGATCTCGACTTACTGACTGAAAAAATATAGTGTGTTTATCGTCATCGAGCAATATTTTAGAACACGAAATTTTTAAATGTTCTAAAAATTTCGATAAATCAGTGGGCGATTCTGGAAAAACGGTTTGCGTAATCGAAGAAATGAGGCCGAAAGTGAGTTCTAAAATAGTCGAAATTGGCTAACTCCAAAAATCTTTTTCAAAGTACACGTTACCAAAACCTCGTGAAGCTTTTTACACCAAAATAAAATTGCGAAAATGTCAAAAGTGCCACAAATACAAATATTTCAAAATGGCTAAACAAAATAAATACTTTTACTTGAAATTTGTGCAGACTTCAGTTCCAAGAAGAATTGGTGAAGGTTCTACCTAGTAAAATCGTCTCGAGTTATACGACCATTGTTACCCTAAGAACCCTATAATCCGGTTCTAAACTCTCATAAATATCCAACGAGTGTGTTTAAATAAGTAATTATTTCCTCTGTACTGAGTGAAGAGGATTTGCTACCATAAATAACCGTGACTTCTGAACCTTCCGACACAATTCCTGGAATTTTACCTTTGGACTTGTGAAGTCAAAACACACACCACGCTCCTGCCAACTTAAAATTTTATTAAACAATAAAATCACCAGTTGTGTTGTTGCAAACGAGGTGTTCTCCAGGGATGAATTTTACTACCAATTTAATTGACATTGTTGATGGACGATCTGTCCACATGAATAAAACCTGGTGTCTCAGCTAAAGTAACCACAGCTTATTCATTTATTAAGTCAGGGGTTTCCAGAAACGTTGAGTCACAATCGAGAACCCTGAAGTCGCTTGAAATTTGAATAACGATTAACGTCATGTTGTGCAAATATTTCCATGGTCATTTTGAGTCACTTTTTATGACAATTTTTGAACAAGTAGTGTCTTATGAGGGTGAATGCTATGATTAATAAAGTCGGTAGAGGTAATAATAACATCGTTCGTGTCATGAATATGCAAATTTGAGGTAAAATGTCATTATTTTAACAATGCTCTTGATAGGTGTTACATCGATTCTCCCATAATTGGATTCTGAAAAAGACGTTATCATTGACATACCTCAGCAATTTAAATGATTAGTATGGTAATTCCGCTGACGTACCACTCTTCTTATATAACAATAATTAAAAGATTAGCGGCATTTAAATAAATAAACAATAACATAATAACCCACAGGTTGTTTTTAATGATACCTGCTTTATTAAATCCTGCATAATGCACGTAATTTTAGAGCTCGGTAGAATAAAGGTTCCCATAATTCTCGAGTTTCCAATAACCGCAACAGGTCTCGATACCCCGCTGCACTGTAAATTAAATGACACCAGAACTACTATAATCAGGTCCGTGTCCCTGCAATTACGAGCCCGTAGACTTATAGGGAATAATTTTGGAAGGTCTAGTCGCATTAACCTAGTCTATAATTCTAGCCCGAGGAGCCCCATCTCGAATTCCACCAATTTATAATGCATTAGCACAGCATTTGAAATTATAATAGCCAAAATTGACGGGCGTAATTATCAGCGACCGATATGATACCGTCACGAATGTGGAAACGTGGGAACGGCCGTAGAAAAAATCTTCAAGTATTACAAAATTATAAAGTTGTTGTTTTTCAGGTGACCCACAGGAGGAGTGCACCCGATGCGGCAAAATGTACATTTGCAATGGGACTCCAGACGCGTGTCCCAAGTGCCGGGGCCAGAATGGGGCCCCACACGGGGACTCCGCGGAGGACTCCAGCGGCAACCACACCGAAGACAGCAACACACCTGAATAAGCTCACAGTGATTTTGTATGTCTAGTGATAAGTGATCAAATTGTACATATTTTGGTTTTGTGTTGAGATACTGAATCACACTGTAAATAACGATTGAGACACGTACTCTTATTTATGAAGTATTTATTCGCTAAGTTAAGTAATTAATCCCCGAGAGCTCGTCTTAACGGTTGAAAAATTGCTCCGGATCTTATTAAAATGCGTTTAGAAAATGTCGTAAATCCGACTAATTTGCTTATGGTCAGAATTTTTCCTTGTCAGTTCGGGATCGGTTTAACATAAATTATGAGACATATTACAAAATGGAGTTTTTATTCGTGATTGTAATATATTTTTTTATTGAAACATCAATTAGTTGACACGATATTCTAGACAGATAATAATTATAACGGCTCAAGACACGCTCTAATCTGACGACCGTGACAGCATCGGCTTGACATATCAGTTTGACATCGGCCTCCAATTAAACCCGCGAACATGATGACCAGTGTGTTTTAATGCGGGGATTATTGGATATGTCCATCGGGACAAGAACGTCCCACACACATTAAGCGTAAAGAGAAATCCCGCACGCCCATGGAGCAGGAAACGGTACAAACCACAAATTAGACCCATCGTTAAACGTTCGTCAAAAATTGCCACTTCCGGCTTACACACGAAAGTTTTCGGTGAAACACACTGTATATTAAATCCACAGCCGGCTGGATTTTCGTTCCGAGATCTACTCGATACCGGGCAAGCATAAGTAATCTTCTTTGCCAAGCCAGCGGAGGCGTTCGTACTTTTATTAATAATCTGATAGTTGCGCCGGTCTGGTAAAGTGACATATCTAACTTGACAGCCGACAATACGCCTTGCCTGTACAATGATCGATCGATCTAATCACCTTTTGAAACACTCGTATTTGCCATCGATTCGATGTAAACGCCTTTATAAAATTGTTAGGCCGTGAGAGAGTTGGTTTGCATTATTTATGTCCGTAAGACTACAATTTCGTTAATGAAAATCTCGATCGGTGTTTGCCGCCTTGTCGGAATAAGGATTATAATGATATTGTTACTTGTAGTATAGTTCGGTGCACTAGAAAACAAAAATGTATATTTTCTGGAACTATTGTTTACAAGCACACTGGGAATCGGTGTTTTTGATTAAATAGTTTCAATACCAAATAATGACAATATTGATATGTGGCATCTACTGAAAGTTCAATTTATTTCTAGTTTTCTGCATATTATAAAGTGTATACTATTAGAAATATAAATACAAAAATAAATGCTCAGTTAGTTTAATCATATGTATGGTAGGTTTTTAAGGAAACTGTAAATATCATTACATGTAAGAGTTAATTTTTGTTGTATCTAGTCAAATGTGTTATTTTTTTATTATTATTTTATGCTTTTGTATACAACTTAACAAATAAATATCTGTGCTTTTTTAGTGTCGGCTTTATTTATTCCCTCTCCCAGGGGCGGATTTAAATGAAATGAAATTTTTGTACCTTGTTTTTTAAGTAATCTGAAAGAATCTCGAATTGTGTCTGGTTTTTGAAGTAGTTTGAGAGAATTTCGGGGTCCCCAATTGAAAAATCGCTAAAAAATTAAAAAAGGAGATATCGATAAATCAAAAAAATTGGAAATTCAAAAAATCGAGAAATTGAAAAATAGAGACATCGAAAAATTGGGAAATCGAGAAAGAAAAAATTCAAAAATTGGAAAATTGAAAATTCGAAAAAATCGAAAATCAAGAAATCGAAAACTTGAGCTAAACAATGGGTAAACTAAAAATTCGGAAATCCAGACACTGAGAATTGGAAAAACCGAACAATCAATAAATTGAAAATTCGATAAATCGAAAGTACAAGAAATCGAAAATTCGAAGTTTCAAAAAATTTGAGAATTCGTAACACTAAATTTCCAAAAATTGGAAATCCAGAATTGTAGGAATTAAAAATCGAAAAATCGAAAAACCAAAAACATTCAAAATCGAAACATTGACTTGCGAAAAATCGGAACAGTTGAGAAATTGAGAAATCGAGAAAGAAAAAATTCAAAAACTGGAAAATCGAGACAAAAAATGAGGAAATTGAAAAATTTGGGCAAATCGAGACAATGAGAATTCGAAAAATCGAAAAATTTTAGAATCAAAACATTAAAAAATCGAAAAATGAAAAGATTTCAAATTCAAATTTTGGGGACTCATTCTGTTTCTTTTTGAAGTAGTTTGAAAGAATCTCTGGAACTTATCGTGTCTGGTGTTTGTAGTAGTTTGAGAGAATCTTGGGGGCCCCAATTGAAAAATCGTTAAAAAATGAAAAATTGAGATATCGAAAAATCAAAAAAATTGAAAATTCGGAACATTGAATTTCGAAAAATCAGAAATCGGGAAATTTAGGAATCGAAAATCGAAAAAACAAAAAAAATTAAAAATCGAAAATTTGAAAAATCTAAAATTTTAAAAATCGAACAATCAATAAATTGAAAGTTCAAAAATTCGGGAAATTCACAATTCGGAAAATCGAAAATCAAGAAATCGAAAAACTGAGCTAAAAAATGGGTAAACTAAAAAATTCGGAAATCCAGACATTGAGAATTCGAAAAATCGAACAATCAATAAATTGAAAATTCGAAAAATCGAAAGTCCTAGAAATCGAGAATTTGAAGTTTCAAAATAATTGAGAATTCGAAAAATCAAAAAATTTGAGAATTCGAAACACTTAATTTCGAAAAATTGGAAATCGAGAATTTTAGGAATTAAAAATCGAAAAATCGAAAAACTAAAAAACTTCAAAATCGAAACATTGTCTTTCGAAAAATCGGAACAGTTGAGAAATTGAGAAATTGAGAAACAAAAAATTCAAAAACTGAAAAATCGAGACATAAAATGAGGAAATTTAGAAAATGGGAAATCGAGACATTGAGACTTCGAAAAATCAAAAAATTTTAGAATCAAAACATTAAAAACTCGAAAAATGAAAAGATTTCAAATTCAAATTTCGGGGACTCATTGTGTTTCTTTTTGAAGTAGTTTCAAAGAATCTCTGGGACTCATTGTGTCTGATGTTTGTAGTAGTTTGAATCTCAATCAATTCAATCAATTGAAAAATCGTTAAAAAATGAAAAATTGAGATATCAAAAAAATTGAAAATTCGGAACATTGAATTTCGAAAAGTCAGAAATCTGGAAATTTAGGAATCGAAAATCGAAAAACCAAAAAAATTAAAAATCGAACAATCAATAAAGTGAAAATTCAAAAAATCGAGAAATTGAAAAATAGAGACATCGAAAAATTAGGAAATCGAGAAAGAAAAAATTCAAAAATTAGAAAATCGAAAATTCGAAAAATTCACAATTCGAAAAATCGAAAATCAAGAAATCGAAAAATTGAGCTAAAAAATGGGTAAACTAAAAAATTCGGAAATCCAGACATTGAGAATTCGAAAAATCGAACAATCAATAAACTGAAAATTCGAAAAATCGGAAGTTCTAGAAATCGACAATTCGAAGTTTGAAAAAGTTTGAGAATTCGAAAAATCAAAAAATTTGAAAATTCGAAACACTGAATTTCGAAAAACATTGGGATTGAGAATTAGAAAAAGCGAAATTCAAAAAATCGAGAAGTTGAGAAATTGAGAAATTGAGAAAGAAAAAATTCAAAAACTGAAAAATCGGGACAAAAAATGGGGAAATTAAAAAATTGGGAAATCGAAACATTGAAAATTCGAAAAATCGAAAATTTTCAAAATCAAAACATTAAAAAATCGTTGAAAAATGAAAAATTGAGATATCGAAAAATCAAAAAAATTGAAAATCGAAAAATCGAAAATTGTAAAAATTGAAAAATCGAACAATCAATAAAGTGAAAATTCAAAAAATTGAAAAATTGAAAAATAGAGACATGGAAAAATTGGGAAATTGAGAAAGAAAAAATTCATAAATTGGAAAATCTAAAATTCGAAAAATCGGAAATCAAGAAATCGAAAAATTGAGCTAAAAATTGGGTAAACTAAAAAATTCGGAAATCTAGACAATGAGAATTCGAAAAATCGAACAATCAATGAATTGAAAATTCGAAAAATCGAAAGTCCGAGAAATCGAGAATTTGAAATTTCAAAAAATTTGAGAATTCGAAAAATCAAAAAATTTGAGAATTCGAGAAATCAAAAAATTTGAGAATTCGAAACACTGAATTTCGAAAAATTGGAAACCGAGAATTTTAAGAATTGAAAATCGAAAAAGTGAAAAACCAAAAAAATTCAAAATCGAAACATTGAGAATTTGAAAAATTGAGAAATCGAGAAAAAAAAATTAAAAAACTGAAAAATCGAGACAAAAAATGAGGAAATTACGAAATTGGGAATTCGAGACATTGAGAATTCGAAAAATCGAAAAATCGAAGATTATAGAGATAGTAGTTTGAAAGAATCTCGGCGGCACCTTGTGCTTTGTTTTTGAAGTAGTTTGAAAGAATCTCGGGGACCCCCTGTGGGTCTTGTTTTTGAAGTATTTTGAAAGAATCTTGGGGATCTCCTGTGGGTCTTATTTTTGAAGTAGTTTGAAAGAATCTCGGGGACTCATTGTGTCTGGTTCTTGAAGTACCTAGTTTGAAAGAATCTAGAGGGCCCCTTGTGTCATGTTTTTGAAGTAATTTGAATGAATTTTGGAGACCCCTTAAAGGTCTTATTTTTGAAGTAGTTTGAAAGAATCCCGGGGACTCATTGTGTCTGGTTCTTGAAGTAGATTGAAAGAACCTCGAGAGCCCCTTGTGTCATGTTTTTGAAGTAGTTTGAAAGAATCTCAGGGACTGCCTATGAGTCCTGTTTTTTAAAGTAATTGTAATGAATTTTGGGGACCCCTTGAGAGTCTTATTTTTGAAGTATTTTGAAAGAATCTCGGAGACCTTTTGTGTTTATTTTTTTAATTAATTTGAAAAAATCGAAAGGACCCCTTGTAATTTGTCTTTGAAGTGGTTTGAAAGAAACTCTGGGATCCCCTGTGGGTCTTGTTTTTGAAGTAATTTGAAAGAATCTCGGGGGCTCCTTGTGTCTTGTTTTTGAAATAGGTTGAAAGGATCTCAGGGACTCATTGTGTCTGGTTTTTAAAGTAGTTTCAAAGAATCTCGGGGGTCTCTTGTGTTTTGTTTTTGAAGTATTTTGAAAGAAACTCGGGGGTCGATGATGGGTCTTGTTTTTGAAGTAACTTGAAAGAATCTCGGAGGCTCCTTGTGTCTGGTTTTTGAAGTAGTTTGAAAGAATCTCGGGGGCTCCTTATATCTTGATTTTGAAGTAATTTGAAAGAATCTCGAGAATCTCTTGTGGGTCTTATTTTTGAAGGATTTTGAAAGAATCACGGGATCCCTTGTGTTTAGTTTTTGAAGTAATTTGAAAAAATCTTGAGGAAGTAGTTTGAAAAAATTTAGGGGACCCCCGTAGATCCAGTTTTTTAACCAAGCTGAAAGAATCCCGGGGACTCCGTATGTTCTGTTTTCGGGGTAGTCTCAAAGAATCCCGGGGACCCCTTATGGGTCTCGTTTTTGAAGTAATTTGAAAAAATATCGGTGACCCCTTGTGTTTTGTTTTTGAAATGGTTGAAAAAATCTCGAAGTTCCTTTATGTCTTGTTTTTGAAGTAGTATGAAAGAATCTAGGGGACCCCTTTTGGGTCCTGTTTTTGAAGTAATTTGAAAGAATTTCGGGGATCCTTTGGGTTTTGTTTTTGAAGTAGTTTGAAACAATCTCGGGGACCCTTTATGTTTTGTTTTTGAAGTAGTTGAAAGAATCTCGAGAACTCATTGTGTCTGGTTTTTGAAGTGGTTTGAAAGAATCTCGGGGACCCCTTTTGGATCATCTTTTGAAGTAAGTTGAAAAAATCTCGGCGACCCTTTGTGGGTCTTGATCTTGAAGTACCAATTTTGAAAGAATCTCGGGAACTCCTTGTGTTTAGTTTTTGAAGTAGTTAAAAAAATGTTTAGAAAGAATCTCGTAATTGTGTTGTCTTGTTTTTGAAAAAGAACTTCTTCGGAGCCCCGTGAATTCCTCTTCTATAATACCTCCCTTAATTGGAGGCAACACAATATTAATCATATAGATCTAAAAGATCAGAACAGGCGTTCAAAACATGTGTAACTATTATACAAAAAATCTCTACATTCAAATGCAGTTTACTATTTTTTTTTTAATTTATTCATGTTTTCGTATGATCAAGATCAATTTAACTAGACCCAACTTCATCGCCAAATATTCTATAATATGATGATAATTTACATTCCATATTTGGCATGCAAATAGTTTTAGATGAATTCTATTGATAGCCAAAAATCAAACAAAACAGTGAGATAACATTTAAATTACGTGTTGAAAGCGAGAAGTCACATTCAATTTAAATTTAGTATGTTTAGGTGTCATTATTATATGCAACCAACTATACACCACAAAGAATCACCAAACAGCATAATCAATCAAATACAGTGGTGTTTACTATATAAAGAATTTTTATTACGATATTTTCGCAAAAACTAATACAATTTGTCCGTTAATATTTTTTGAAAAAACTATAGAACCACGTCTGACGCGTATTCGCCCGAAAACTATATCGTAAGCGCTGAAACCTCTTCTTTCGGCTCGTCTTGCTCCACATTCCTCATAACAACCCGGCGACCCTCGGCATTAATTAGAGCAAACGCCGTTGACTAAACCGATACCTAATCGCTTTTAACACATGGAACACCAACTGCGCTTAACTGTACCCAGCGTGGCTATATCACAAAGAAGCATCATTATCATGCAAATGAACAATGAACAATTATTGGTATTGGAAAGGCGGTTATCTCAAGTAGCATCGATTACATATCATTAACGTGAACCATTAATCAAGCGAAATCAAAGTAAGAAAAAATCACTTAGCTACCGCCCGACCAGATACCATCTCAACACTGGTAAAACAAAACAGACTCTTGGTCTGACCAGAACATAATTAGTTATTTCATTGCCATCTGATTAACATAACAATAAGTAGATCCATTTTGGACTGTCAAGAGAAGATATACCACACCCTGACGATCCCATGGATGGGCGACTAATGGTCTTCATTGCCAACATGTCAATGTGATATCTTATTAAAATTTTTAGAGATGAGAAAGGCGCTATTAATCACGTCGTGGGTTCTTACCCAATTTTATTTATTTCCTGGTATGGCAATAACACAACACCAACGTTATCCATTTTATTTAAGAAAATTAAAAAACAAACAAAATTCTAACAATAATAAACAAGACAAATAAAAATACATGTAAATCATTTTGACACATCGTTCTAGTCTATAAAACGTGAACTATAATAAGCGTTCACTTCGAATGCTGATCTCTGAAACAACTAAGTTAGAAACGCTATATACTAGATAACGTACTCACTCATAGTAGCGGACCGCCTTCATTTTAAAAGCGGTGGAATTTTCTTTACATTTATAAGCCAGTACTTGCTTGATTCGGCTAATTTCGACCATCGGAAATCTCGTGGCCACGTAAGCTAAAAGAGCCTACTCAGAACACGTCGTTTTTTACGAAGTACTTACAAATGATCGCTTGGACTTTAGACCTATCTAACGCCGGTTTCACGGGTCTTTCGCCACTTCCAGCGCGACTCCATCGTTGCCCAGTCACCGAACAAGTAGCCAACTCCGCGGGACTAAATAATATTGTGGCAAGACCTCGAGTCAGTTTTCGGTAGTCGTTCCATTTCACGCTTCTTAGCTGATCCTCGTATATTTCGATTCCTTCGCCTAGTTTTATCTACATTGGGATGATTATGGAAAAGTTTGGGGTTTGGGGGTGCTTTACCAGTCTATTTCTCCTTTCTCCTTTGTCTCTCATTCTCATTGTAAGGTCGGAAGAGTCTCCCGGGGAGTCGTCTTGAGGGTGCAATTCGAAGGGAAGCCAGTGGTCGGGAGACCGTCGTCTGCGAAGTTTTAAAGACCCTAGAAGTTGTTAGTTTGGTATTCATGGTGGGTATTGTAGATATCAATGGGTTTATAATAGGAGATTTATTCACATTGTAGACGCACAAAATTCATACATGCCTTAACTCATCAAATAGTTATCATAGTTTGTAAAGAATATAATGAAAATATCGCAATTTTATACTTATTTGTATAATAGGAAACTGTAATATTGCATAGAGTGGGAGTGGATAACTATCCACTGTACTATACAATGTACATTTATATTTAGTGTTAATAATAAAGTCGACTGAAAATAAAAAAGTTCTAAGATCGGGGTGTCCCGAGGCTCGACAAGGTCTGGCGAGTGTTTATCTGTCAATACTTCCTGTGTCTTGTCGAGTTTCGTGAACTTAACTCCAGTATTTGATATAACAAGTGCATTTGTTTGACGTTTCCTCTAAAATAAAGCTACAGCCCGCTTTACGAAGCACTCTGAAGTTCGTATTTGATGTCGACGCTACCACTACTACTAAAGCTCGTGCCCTTAATATTATGTATAACGATATTCCTATCAGCTGCTCCATTACTTTTCGGATAATTTCTGTTCGCGCCTTCGTGCGAACTCATTATGTGTCTGCGCAGATAAAGATCAGTTTTAAACGGCTTTTTGCAAATCGGACACTGCACGTAAGTCGGATAATGAATTAGTTTCATGTGTTGTCTTAAATTTGATAAGTTGCTGTATACTCGTCCACATTCCTCACATGGCCTGGGGTCCAGCGAATGCAGCTTTCGAGTGTCGCCGCCTGCAACAAACCAATTTATCAATCAAATCGTTGCAAGCACGACAAGCTGGACCCCGGTCACTTCGGAATAGCCGAGAAGGGGGCGCAGCTCCACTGCAATCGAGCTGAGTCCGCTTCTCCGCCTTGTTTTCAAACCGACGTACCTTGAGAAGCGGCGTCGTGGTTGCCGTCTTTCACCGTGAAGTTAGTCACCTGGGGGATGATCTCCATGCCTCCTGAAACGTAAGGTGAGCTCGAGAAGCACCCGCAAGCGACTCACCTGGCAGCTCCGTGACGTCACCCGGCGGGTAAAAATTGGAAATGTTGTCGTCGCGACCGTCGTCATCGCTTAAATAATCCGGAAGCTCCATTTTAGGCTGCACTAAGTTCTTGTTAGTCTCGCTTTGATTTCTGTTGTCGTTTTGGAGCGCGAACGGGTTGAGGTTCATGGACTCGTCCTTGATTTGTCTTATCCTAGAGACTTCCGATTCCGACTTACACTGTCTTTTAGGGGGTGGACTAGAAATGTTCGTGGACACATCCTGACTAGAAGTTACAGTACTAGAAGACGATATTTGCGGTTTCATTAGTTTGTGTTTAGTGGTGGCTGATAAGTGTTTCGATGGTTGCGGATTTAGATATAGGGTGTCTTCCTCTTTGTGATTATCGCTTTCGGCTGAAGTGTCAGTTAGTCCTCGGATTTTTAGCGACTCGGCCGTTTTGAGGAACGCCGACAGGTGAGCTTGAGCCACGTTCACCTCGCCGGCGTACATGAATTCCATTAGTGCTACTATGTGTTTAGCTTCCACGTCCCGCATGAAAATGATGGGGTGCGAACAAGGATTCGCCTGTAATTATCACGAAATTAAAGCCAACTCTGAACACACAGATATTTTAAATTTACACGATTTAACATAGGCAGCCAATTATACCCAACTGTATACATGTACCAGCAACATTATTAATTTTAACACTACTAATTTTAATTATTTTAAACAAATACAATTTCACTTATTAAAATCATGTTCTTTTTTAATATCGTCGCGCGAAATTTAAATCATATGATAATCAATGCAGCCAAACTTGCCAATCATAACGCCCTGAAATCAATACACAACAACAATAGTGGACTCACTTTAAACAATTCCTTAAAAAAAGGGCTGCATGCCGACAGGACGACTTTGTGTGCCTGCATCCTTTGTCCTTCGCAGGCGATCGTAACGTCGGTGAAATCTTCATCGTCACGTAAAGCTTCGAACTGGGACGTAATATTCGCTTGAAAATTATTCCATCTAAGACAAAATTGTTGATCATCGGCTAATGCCATTTCTAGAAACACCCCAAGCACTGCTTTTACGAAATCTTATCGAATAATGATGACAGAATTACTAGGTAGGAAGACCATCTCAGACATAAAAATAAACTACCTTTTAATTTTAATCAATATATGTCTACTTCTTTTGGCCAACCAAGAAAAAGAAGTTTCCCTGTTGGATTTGAGTCGGATTAAGATTTACTGGATTGGCTCGAAAAATCGCTCAAACCTTGGCAACAAATTGTGCGTTTTTTTGCAAAATTAGTGCAAATTAAATTGTTTATTTTATGGGGTTTGTGGCACACGCAGATGCCAAAATAATCCCGATCTTAGTCTATATAATAACGAGACAAGCCGCAATATCGCACTAGAGCGATATTCAACCCGACGTGACCCAGTTATGAAAAATAACTGATCGTTTTTGAAATATTTTTTTCGATATTTAGGTTGGCCACACTGCGATCATTAAAAAAAAAACGTGACCCGAAAATCGGGCTTTTTTCGACATCTAGAACACTCTTTAGTGACAGATTGCAAACTTAGGCCCGTTTGAGTGTCTATATTTACCAAAAAAAACCAAAATAATTGTTGGTTACATAACGACAAACCAATGTCGACATACGTTCCATGAGGGAGACCCGCTTTGTGAGTGTGTCGCAGATGGCTCCACCCGTCGTTCGTTTTTTGACAGACGACAGATGTCAAAGGTGGGCCACAGACGGTGATCATGTCGAAAAAACGTCCAGTGCTGTTTTAAAATAAAATGTAAATTAAAGTACGTTCATTTAGCGTCGAGTAAACCTAGTGATTAAGTGTTATCTCCACGGACACTCTGTATTGATTTTTCGTTAGTGTATGAATTCCCAAAACTCTGGCCTTCGAAATGTGAAATGTCAAAACGTAAGTTAAATTTGCCAATTTTTGCTAAAATGGGGGGCTCTCGGCGGAAGTGGCTTGGGTGGAAATAGTGTGACATGCGGGGTTCAATTTAGTCGGATTAATTTTGCCCGAATGAGTCACCATGTTTAAATTAACATCCTTGCAAAAGTCTCTCTTGTCACCACATTGCTAAAATTTTTTGTTGGGTGAATTCTATTGAAGATACTTTCAATTCTGTTGTAATAATATAGTCGTAAGAAAGTAGCACTTGCACAATTTTTGCCGTTAATATTCGGCTACATAATGTATAATTTCTAATTTCTATTTATAATAGCGGGGTTTTGGTTAGGGTACTGATAAGTTTATCGTTATTGCGGCTAAAAAGTAGTCATTGTTTTGTCCATAACCTGGCCAACACTTGGCAGAAGCCGTATCAAGAGTTATCAAGATTTATCACGAACTAGGGTTACTGAATCATGTATAGCAAGGTTACTATGATTCACTAACCCCAATAGAGACACTGGCATACTGGAGCTCTATTTTGGTGTCTATCTTTGTCCTTGGGCGTCCCAAAATATTGACTTTTGTTCTTCGAGAATCAGGCCTTAAATATCTGTCGGTTGGGATTAGAATATTCTCGGAAAAATGTGGCCTCGGCAGACGGCTCGTCCTCGATCTTGTAGCAATTAGTGTTTGTAATTATATATATATATCCGCTACTTTTAAATAAAAATACTTATGCTGAATACAGAAAGCCTCGAGACGACGTCATCAACTTTTGGAGGGGTTGACGACAATCTAAGTGCTTAAAATTAAAAAGTAATTGGCGATAGTTTGGGAGATTATCTACAATAAACAGACATAAATGAGAAACCTGCATAAACTTCAACATTAGTCAAAATGACCTTGCTTTAGCATTCGTTCCGGAAGTACAAAACAGAAAGTACACACTTAGTATGCCTTATTTACATTAATTATTGTAAAATGTCTTACTAAGCTATTCTAACTATGTTTTTTTTTGTCGCAGAGAATAGCCTTCACGATTTGTAGAAATTTGTGTTCTTACCTGAACAGGATCCAGCTATTTACCTGGAAAGGACTTAGTACCTTTTCTTTTGTAAGGGGTTTGAATTTGGTCGATACTTTAGTCCCTTCTAGGAAAATGACATTTCAATAGTATTTGGTTTCAAGCCGTAAATCAACAAGATTTATTGCTATTTGTCTCAAAAACAGATTAGTTATTATAATTACAAGGGCTTACATTTTGCCCTTTTTTCTTAATATGTGGTCATGTTTTCAGAACAAGAAACTTAAAACATGTTTAAAATCGTAAATTTGTGTAGGGAAATATCGATTTTGCAATTACGCTCCGCCCTTAGGTCTGACAACGAATGAAAATTACATCATGATTGAGATCGACACGGGTGGGTGGGCCTTTTTTTTGGTTTTCTTTTTTAATTAATACATTTAGTTTTCTTTGTGTAACACGATTACTTAAGAACATATTTCACATGGTAATTTCTCGCAGAAAAATAATGAAGCTCCGCCCCTCGGCGTACGACTAATAAAAAAAAATCATCAGAATTGCGATAGGGTGGGTGGGCGGGGCTTATATTTTGCCTTTTTTTTTATTAACATACATAGCTATCTATTCACAACAAGAAACTAAAACATGGTTAAAATGGTAACTGCAAAGTCGATATTTCCTTATATAAATTTTCAATTAACATGTTTTAAGTTTCATGTTGTGAAAAAAATTTTACACAAAAAACAAAAGGCAAAATGTAAGCCCGCCCACCCGCCCTATTTAAATTGTAATGATTTTTTTTATTCGCCGTTTACCAAGGGGACGGAGCTTAACTGCAAAATTCTTATTTCTTTACAAGAAATTAAAAACATGTTTTTGAGTATCGTGTTGTTCAAAGGATACTGTGTATACTAAAAAAAAGGAAAAATATTAACCCCGCCCACCCACCCCATCTCAATTGCGATGATTTTTTCTATTTTTAGAAACTTAAAACAGGTTTAACATGATAAATTTTTCTAAGAAAATATGGATTTTACAATTAAACTCTGCCCCTCGGCTTACAACGAATAAAAAAAAATCATCAGAATTGCGATAGCGTGGGTGGGCGGGGCTTATATTTTGCCTTTTTTTTATTAACATACATGGCTATCTATTCACAACAAGAAACTTAAAACATGGTTAAAATGGTAATTGCAAAATCGATATTTCCTTATATAAATTTTCAATTAACATGTTTTAAGTTTCATGTTGTGAAAAAAGAAGTCTACACATATTAAAACAAAAAGGCAAAATGTAAGCCCGCCCACCCACCCTATCTCAATTGTGATGATTTTTTTTTATTGGTCGTAAACCAAGGGGGCGGAGCTTAACTGCAAAATACTTATTTCTTTACAAGAAATCAAAAACATCTTTTTGAGTGTCGTGTTTTTCAACGAATACTATGTATATTAGGAAAAAAAAGCGTAAATATTAACCCCCAACCCCACCCCCAACTCATTTGTGACGATTTTTTTTATTTTTAGAAACTGAAAACTCGTTTGAAATGGTAAATTTTTGTAAGAAAATAGATTTTGCAATTAGGCTCCGCCCGTAGGTCTACCAACGAATTGAAAACTTCATCACTATAAATTTAGATCAGGGCAGATATTGGTGGGACTTCATCTTTGGCTTTAATTTTTTCTTAATATGCATAGTATTTTTTTAATAACAAGATACTCAAAAACATGTTTTACATGATAATTTTTTATAGAGAAATAACAATTTTGCATTTAAATTCCGCTCCTTTGGCTCTCGACGACTAAAAAAAAATCATTGCAATTGAGATCGGGCGGGTGGGCGGGGCTTATGTTTTGCCTTTTTTCTTAATATTCGTAGTGTTCTCTTCGCAACAGGAAACTTGAAACGTGTTTAAAACCGAAAATAAGGATTTTGTAATTACGCTCCGCCCCTCAGCCTGACAATCAATGGGAAACTCATCACGATTGAGATCCAGACGGATGGGTGGGGCTTATCCTTTGTTTCTCTTTTTTTTTACTTAACACATATATGTAGTTTTCTCCAAGCAACACCATCATAATTAAAATTAAATTTAAATCTTTTTTAAAGTCTGTACCTTTAATACTATCTATAAAAAATTATGTTCCTCTTTCATATTTTACAACTTGTATGTAATACTGAATCTGTTTTTTTCCCCTTTTGAGTATGCCTTGTTTATTTATTTTTGTTTACTTGTATTTTTTTTTAATTATAGTACTCAATAAAGTTATTATTATTATTATTATCACTGAAGAATATGTTTCACATGCTAATTCTTGTAGAGAAATACGGATTTTGCAATTAAGCTCCACCCCTCTTGACTAACGACGAACAAAGAAAAAGCGTCACAATTGGGATAGGGTGGGTGGGTGGGGCTTATGTTTCGAATTTTTTGTCTTCTTAATATATATTGTTTTTTCTTCATAAAAAGAAACTGAAAATATGTTTAAAATGGTAATTCCAAAATCGATATTTCCCTATACAAATTTACCATTTTAGACATGTTTTAAATTTCATGTTGTGAAAAGAAGTTACACATATTAAGAAAAAAAGGCAAAATGTAAGCCCGCCCACCCGCCCTGTCTCAATTGTGATGATCTTTTTATTCGCCATGAACCAAGGGGGCGGAGCTTAACTGCAAAATACGTATTTCTTTACACGAAATTAAAAACATGTTTTTGAGTATCGGGTTGTTCAACGAATACTATGTATGTTAAGAAAAAAAAGACAAAATATAAACCCCGCCCACCCACCCTATCTCAATCGTGATGATTTTTTTTATTCTTAGATATTTGAAACACCTTTAAGATGGTAAATTTTTGTAAGGAAATACGGTTTTTGCAATTAAGCTCCGTCCCCCTTGACTAACGATGAACAATGAAAAAGCGTCACAATTGGGATAGGGTGGGTGGGTGGGGCTTATGTTTTGTATTTTTTTCTTCTTAATATATATTGCTTTTCTCCATAAGAAGAAACTGAAAATATGTTTAAAATCGTAATTGCAAAATCGATATTTTCCTATACAAATTTACCATTTTAGATATGTTTTAAATTTCATGTTGTGAAAAGAAGTCTACACATATTAAAACAGAGAGGCAAAATGTAACCCCGCCCACCCGCCCTGTCTCAATTGTGATGATTTTTTTTTATTCGCCGTGAACCAAGGGGGCATAGCTTAACTGCAAAATACGTATTTCTTTACACGAAATTAAAAACATGTTTTTGAGTATCGGATTGTTCAGAGAATACCAAGTATGTTAAGAAAAAATGCCAAAATATAAACCCCGCCCACCCACCCCATCTCGATTGTGATGATTTTTTTCTTCTTAGAAATTTAAAACACGTTTAAAGTGGTAAATTTTTGTAAGGAAATATGGATTTTGCAATTACGCTCCGCTCCGCCCCTCGTTCTGACAACGAATGAAAAATTCATCAGGATTGAGAAGATGGATGGGTGGGGCTTCTCTTTTGGTTTTCCTTTTTTATTAATACAATTAGTTTTCTTTACACCTATAACACGATTACTTAAGAACATATTTCACCTGATAATTTCTCGTAGAAAAAAAATCGGATTTTGCAATTAAGCTCCGCCCCTCGGCTTAACGACGAATAAAAAAAATCATCAGAATTGAGATAGGGCGGGTGGGCGGGGCTCATATTTTCCCTTTTTTTTTTCTTAATATACGTAGCCATCTTTTCACAACAAGAAACTTAAAACATAGTTAAAATGGTACTGTTTTGGGAGGAAATATTGCTTTTGGAATTATGGGGCGGAGCTTGATCGCGAAATCATTATCTCCCTATACAAATTTTCTATTTTAAACATGTTTTCAGTTTCATGTTGTGAAAAGAAGTCTACACATATTAAAACAAAAAGGCAAAATGTAAGCCCGCCCACCCGCCCCATCTCAGTTGTGATGATTTTTTTTATTCGCCGTGAACCAAGGGGGCGAAGCTTAACTGCAAAATACGTATTTCTTTACACGAAATTAAAAACATGTTTTTGAGTATTGGGTTGTTCAAAGAATACTATCTATATAAAGAAAAAAAGTCAATTTATTAAACCGCCCGCCCACCCTATCTCAATTGTGATGATTGTTTTTATTCTTAGATATTTGAAACACATTTAAGATGGTAAATTTTTGGAAGGAAATATGGATTTTGCAATTACAGTCCGCCCCTCGGTCTGACAATGAATAGAAAAAATCATCAGTATTGAGATAGGGTGGGTGGGCGGGGCTTAAATTTTGCCGTTTTTTCTTAATATACGTAGCTATCTTTTCAGTTAAAATGGTACATTTTGGCAAGGAAATATTGATTTTGCAATTATGGGACACGACCTAATTGTAAAATCCATATTTCTTTATACAAATTTTCCATTTTAAACATGTTTTAAGTTTCATGTTGTGAAAAGATGGCTACGTATATTAAAACAAAAAGGCTTTAATTTTTTCTTTATATACGTGGAATTTTTTTAATAACTCGAAACTCAAAAACATGAATTACTTGGTAATTTCTTGTAGAAAAGTAATAACAATTTTGCAGTTAAATTACGCTCCTTTGGGTCTCGACGATAAAAAAAATCGTCACAATTGAGATAGGGCGGGTGGGCGGGGCTTATATTTTGTTGACCAAACGTTATTAACAAGCAAGTTTATAAATCCCACTTTAATTTGGTGCGTCGTACATGTGGCATAATGCGTTTATTTTGTCCAGGATTGTGAAACAAGTATACGACATCTAGATAAAGCTGGTGTAACAATTTTTACAATAAATATTCGTCATAGTTTCGTACACAAAAGGGTGTTTATTTATATTTTATTGTCAAATGTTTGTGTGAATTTGCTATTTCTATAACGTCTGGTATATTTTCTTTCAATTAGCCAGTCTGCGACAATAAATCTAACAAAATTGTTTTGAACTAGATGAGTCAGTCGGGGAGTATTGGAGTGACCCGGTTTGAAAAATCGCCCCAAAATGTATACAGTACGACCCGAATTTAAACTTTCTAAGTAGTACGTGCAGAAACCAATGTAGAAGGAACCTTCCATTGTGAGCTGCAGCTAATGCTCGAGATAAGGGGTTTATCGA